TGGTTATATATGAATTTCGGATTTTGGATTTCGGATTTAGGACTGTGATTCTCTTAGTCCCTCAGTGCTTTTCCATATAGAACTCATCTGCCTTGTATAAATCTCATTGTGTGGACCTCAAAAAAGCTCATGAATCAAGTCAACCATCCTTTTTGTTACTCATATGGGAAATTTTGTTGTTTGATATAGGCCTTATATTGCAAGGGCATTTACTCCCAGCAGTGGACTTTGTTTCTCGGCATAGGGATTGTCTATCCGACATTGCTTTGCTTTCCACTGTAAGTCATCTCTGCTCTTCTTTCATCACAATAACTATGTTCCGAAAATCAACCTAAATTAGAGTATGATTGCAAATGCAGCAGTGGTCGCAGCTACTGTAGTGAGAGATAATCTATAGTATAGTTTGTAATCCAAACACAAAAGCTGTAATTCCGCGACAGCTAAAAGATAGTATAAAACTGACAAGAGAAGACATGGTGTTTTGCAGGTAGCAACAGCCAGCCAATTTTTCATTTCTTACACCATTAGGACTTTTGGAGCTCTAACATTTGCTGCGATAATGACAACAAGACAGGTAAGTTACTCTGATTTCAACTCTCTCATTCCTCTTACAAACTAATCACAATCTATTCCAATCAAAATCTGTCTGTCTTGTCTGAAATATAAAAAAAGCTTGTGAGCATCATGCTCTCCTGCATTTGGTTCTCACACCCACTTAGCTGGGAGCAATGCATTGGATCCGTAAGCTTCTCCATGCCTCTCTTTACTTCATTTTCTGCTTCTTACCAGGTCTCTACCTGTTCTGAAGCTAAACCAATTTTTCACTTGTGTAGGTAATTGTCTTCGGGTCTCTATATGCTAAAAACTTAGTGAAGAAGAGTTCAGAAAAGCCGCAAGTAGCTCAAGAACTTCCACAGGACGAAGAGGCTGAGCCTCTAACGGGAAACCCATAAAGCACAGAGAGAATTTTTCTTCGCTGATGCTTAAAGAGTGAAGAGCTAACTCTAATGATCCCTACGTCCTTCCCTCTGACTAACAAAACTAGGCGGTTTGGGTCTTGGAATTAGGATTCAGATTGAGATCAAAACTGTTTTTTTTTCCAAGGAGAAGTCATAGATGATGTATGATGGATATTCGTAGAGCCGAATGTATGCAACTTTAGATTCTTGTTTCTGTTTTCTACTCTTTCTGGAAACAAAGGTATCAACGAGCGATTTACTTTAGACCGGAGATGAGCTTTAGTACTTATTGTAGAGTGGTCGAAACGGTTGTGTAAAATTGTAATGGGGGGGTTTTGACATTATATAAAACTACATGTCAAGTGTCAAATTTTGATAAATTGGTACTGATTCATCAATTGAATCTCCCAATCTCAAGATACTTCTGTGCTCAAAGATTTTATTGTTCAAGGGTTAATGGAGTGTCTAAGTCTTTTGTTGAGTGAAGCACACAACATATTTGGCGCTAACTGGGATATTTTAACGGAGATCTTAAGTTCTTAACTCATAAGCAACAAAATAAAAACGGCAAGAGAGGCGTTTAGTCAACAAACATGAAAAGCTTGAAAACGACAAGGTGTTTTAATTGGAGACCAATTGAAATGATGGGCTTTTCTCAGGTCAAATATTTTAAAAAGCTACAACACGCGCCAAAGTGTGCAAAACCATAGAGACGACGACTCAAACAAAAAGTCCCATTAAAAACTGAAACCAACCCCAGGACTTGGCATTATATCCTCAGAATCAGATACAAAAATGGGTTTCTGAGATATTTTCCCAAGACGGATCAAAAACGTTTTTATTAGTGAAGGACATATCATCTCACATTTTTTTTTCTATCATGGAAAAAAGCGCAATCAAAGAAGAAGAGACGAAAGGTAAAAGATCAATTAGATGGCGATGGCCTTTGGCGGCTTTAGTTGTTGTGTTTTTGGCAGTCGCTGCGACCTTCATGATCGGTTTTATCTTCGACGACTCCAATTTTTTCAGCTATTCACATCAGGTTTTAATTACTTTCCTTGGTTTTCTATATAAAAGATAAAACTTTTTGATGATCCATGTATTGTTCGTGGGGTTGACTTAACCGATTTTTGTTTTGAGTTTTGATCGTTGGAGAGGGAATATAACCAAAAGTTTCAAGTATATTTTCATGTTGTAACCTGATGAAGTTTCTTGAGTAATTGTGAAAATTTTCAGTTGTTAATGGTTACGAAAGGTTGATCATTTATGCCTTGATTATTTGCCATGTATCATGAATCGATTATCTAGTGTTATCTTTAAATGGTACTGTTAAGCCGTGGTCACGACGCGTAAAACATATGAATCTTTCAGTCTTTTTTCCCTCAAAAGTAAAATGTGATTACTAGTGAAATATTTAAGAGAATATGTCAATGGACACATATTGATCCTATTTGACTTTTTTTTGTTCTTCTTACTCCTTTTGGATACAGGATCCTGGTAAATACAAAGGTATGATTGATGATCATTGCTGTGGTTAACATAAAATTCTAAACCAATATTTAAACCTATAATATCGGTCCATTATATTAGTAGATCAGTACAATTAGTGTATATTTGTGTACATATATATAGAATGTAGTAATGTACAATTTTTAAACTAAGGTTCTCAACCTTGAAAAATAAATCAAATATGGAACAGTATTTGTGTTCTTATTCTTCTAATTAGATGACTCGTTGAAGTCGTAAGAATTGTACAATGTAGTTATAAGCAGAAACAATTTACTAAATTAAAAAATCGTAAGATAATAATTGTCTTTTTCTGAATTATATGTTATATTAACTATGTTTTGTCTCGCGCTACGCGCGGATTGTGATGTTAACAATATGATTCAAATATTTAACCTATATAACATAGTCTTAGCATGTCATAATGTCTTTGTTTTGTAAATGTAATAGGGATAAAAATACATGAGCTAAAATTATGATTGAAATATTTAACCTATATAACATAATTCTAGCATGTCATAATATCTTTGTTTTGTAAATGTAGTAGGGATAAAAATACATGAGTTAGTGAGATTTTTCTCAACCGTTTTTTATTTTCTGTCTAATAGGTTGGTTAATTTGAAATTAGATTATTTTTAATCTAAATTCCTTTTGTTTATTTTCGTTGGTTTTAGTAAAATTATATATCAATAACTTGTACATTAACCTAGGCATAAAATTTTTTTGAACATCTTGTACGCATGAATATAGACGATGTTATATTGTGATTTATATCAATAACATGTACAAATTCATTTTTTCTATTAAATAATTTTTATCCCAACATATATTATAGAAGAGGAGAGGATGTAAAAATAAACTAAATATATCCAAAAACACCATCAATTACATAGTGGTAGTATGGTAGATATCGATCTTTTTCTCTCATGTAAAACCATTATTACATTTCTTTGTACTTGGAGAACAAACATATAAGATAGAAACTAATCCATGAATCATGACTATCCTCTATATGTTCCATTTCCATACAATTTCATATCATGAGTTGAAATGTCAAAGCCAATTTTAACTTGCATTACAAAACAAATAGTTTAGCATTTTTCCCTCTCGGTAATTAGAAAACACAAACATAAACATGAGAAAGCATCTTTATGGAGACGGTAACGTAGATTCATTGTTCGCGATGTGTGAACTCCATCAAACTATTAGAAAATCAAATCACTGGACTAAACAACTTATTAAAAAATTACATACTTTCTTAAGAAATATATGATTATATTTTTTAAGGTTAGAGAAAACAACTTACATATTTTCTTAAGAAATTAAAAACCCACCAAGCCTCATAAGTACAATAAAATTACCTTCTTACATATTATTTTAATATATGATTAGATATTGTCCCTTCTTTGATTTATAGTTTTGCTCTGGAGCATTTTTCCGGCAGATTCTCAAATTGTTGTATGTAACACTACTGTTTGAAGATGTCAAGTATTAGCCTCTTTGTAACTTAAATTAGACCGTTCATCAAACCTTTTTGTCTTTATGAGAAGCACATACAGAGTAACAGAGAAAKATATTTAKCATAGAAAGTGCAATGCACACATAAGTTTAATTGGTAAATGCGAGAAACGATACTCAAGAATAAAATCAATATACCTCTAGAAAAAGCAATGCACACATAAGTTTAATTGGAAAATGTCAGTATACAATTTTTTACCATTTGAGAGTTCGTGAGGAAATCTA